TTTCTAACAATTTCCAAGTTTGCACCGTGCTTGTGAATCAGAAGTTTAAAGTTGCTTCTCTTTCGTATGTGATATTTCGTCGAATCATCTCGATATGAAAACAAAAATATCTCAACTCCCATTATTCAAATTCGAAGAACGTTTGCACAAACTTGTGATAAATGTTGCCTAGTTCTACATTGCATAACAGAGAGGCAAATTGTACAAAGTCTTATGTGCATAGCCAGCCGTTTGAAGAGGGAGGATCAAGGTGGGCTATACTTCAGCCGGATTATTCTTCCAGTTAGAGAGCGTTGTTTAAGTATCACTGCTTAACGTGGTATTAAATCACTAAGTATACATGTACGATGAACACGAGCTTGTTAAGTAGATCCTAGAGATCGTATATATATACTATGCAATTGCGTATGGACTTTATATATATTAATAAACTTGATTAGTCAATATTAAATAAATTCGTTATTTTTTAACTTATAATTATTATTTATGTTGCACATATGTATATACATACATATACATATAATGATGAACAATATAATTAGCCGTAATAATATTATCTTTACATTGTGATTTAACTATACAGAGTGTTTCTAAATAAGTGCGTAAAAATTTAGGAGATGATTACTTGTCAAAATTAAGAAAGATTTTTTTATATAAATATATAAACTCCTAAATACCTCTCTATAAGGAGTTACAATTTTCCAAAAGAGAGAGTAAAAATTAATTTTTATTTTTTTTTTTGAAAACTATTTGATTTTACAAGAAAGAAATTAACAAAATAAAAATTTATAAAGAAATCAAGCTTTCTAACGTATATTTCCAGATGATCACATTCTGATTTCATTCAAAAGTTCTAATAAAAATTAAATCAAATTTCATTTTTATAATTTGTCCAAAATTTGAGAAAAAAATTAAAACCTAATTTTCATTTCTCCCTTTGGATGAGTGTAACTTCTCAAGGCGAGATATATGGAGGAGTATTTATATAAAAAATCCTTCTTAATTTTCGACAAAGATTTATTTCCTAAAATTTTTTGCACTTATTTAGAAACATGTATATTTAACAAACCTTCATTATAATACAAATCGATGTATTAATAATTTTTTTATAAGTTTTCTTAATTTTCTTTTACCTTTACAGAATTACAAAAGATTACGTACCAAATGGTATAGAAAAATTTGGATTTTATCAGATAGTGATATTTCGCATTATCAGCATACCAATAATTTCATCAGCAATGTTTATGCTTTCTTACGTATTTACCGCAGGCGAAGTTAAATACAGGTACGAATACATGTATTTTGGCTAATTAGATTTTTCTTTACACGTAGCGTTCAACTTAATTATATTTTGTGCAATAATATTACAAACATTTAATTCTTCAAAGATTAGAAAATTAATAAACAATTGTCCAATTACCAGATGTTTAGTGCCAGAAAATGCGAACATGCGGAAAACGCGACGTTCGACGATGATTCACCATGGATCAACGTTTCCGCCCCGAAGGTCAACGGAGACATTTCCGGTTGTGTACGTTCTGTGGTGTGGATAATCATTCGGACTCATGTTCGAACGACGTCGTTCATCACGTGACTGTGAATGCGATTCTTGGTTTTTACAATCAAACGAGCATACGATACTCGACGAGTGTAAGGGTGTCTCATTATAAGCATTGTTTAGGCAACTGGTCATCAAAAGACAGAGGTTCTATGGAAATATTTCAAACAGTTTGTGAATAAAATTAGAATGGGACAAACATTTAAAACTTGCCTCGTTATTCTACAATACTAATGATGCATCCATTAGACTTCTCACAAATTTCTATTCGGAAGGTTTTATAGAGTATCATGCAGTGACTGTAATATTGTGGACATATCCAACGAAAGCAACACAAAACATCTCACATCTTTTGTTCAATGTAACTTATAAGCATTGTTAGGCAACTGGTCATCAAAAGACAGAGGTTCTATGAAAATATTTCAAACAGTTTGTGAATAAAATTAGAATGGGACAAACATTTAAAACTTGCCTCGTTATTCTACAATACTAAAAAGGGCACCCAATTGGACTCCTCACAAACTTCTATTCGGAAAGGTTTTATAGAGTATCATGCAGTGACTCTAATATGTGGACATATCCAACGAAAGCAACACAAAACATCTCACATCTTTTGTTCAATGTAACTTAAAAGATTCGTAAGCCGCAACCTACGAAAATTTAGTAAACGCTAGGTTTATAGACATAAGAGATAGGTTGGTGACAAACATCTGATCATAACATTTCTGGGTAATTATTGAGATATGGGGTAATTATTGAGGATAATATTGACATACAGGGTGTCTGGTGACTCGCGTTTAACACATTAATGAGAGATTTCTGAGGCGATTTTTTCCTCAGCGAAAATGTCCAGGCACCAATAATTTTTGAGTTATAAATGATTGAAAATAAAAACTTTTTTGTAAACTAAGCCTTGTAAAAATAAATTATTAACAAAACTATTTTTTACTTAATTTCAGGTAAAGTTTACTGTAATAGAATTTTAATTTAAGACTTAGTTTCATAGATACATGATTTAAAAAATTGGGAACATTAAAAAATGATGACCTTTCTCATCATTTTCGCCGAGAAAAAGTCGTCTCCAAATTGTCTCAGGAATCTCCCATTAACGTGTAAAATGCGAGTCATCAGACACCCGGTATATTGTCAAGGTCACTAAGTAAGTATTAAAAGGTTTTAAGTGTCGCTCATTATTTATAAAAAAGTTATTAACCAAAAAAGTTTACTAAATAAAATTATAATATTTGTGACATATAACTGTACATTTAAATATATTATATGTTTGGACGCGTAATAAAATGGTCACGCGTAAGTCAAGAAGCGTAATAAAATGGTCAACGCGTAGGTCAAGAAGGACCCAGGGGCTCCGCCGGGCGAGGTAGGAGCCAAATAATGAATTTCAAACATAGGTTGGGTAAGGTCAGTTTTTGAGTGAGGTGGGGGTGCAGGGAACAGAGCGAAACCCCTCCTCCGTTCGGTGAAACTCCTGGCTCCTTCTTAGCCCAGGCGTAATATGATTTCAAATTAAATTATTTATAATATGTTTACATTAAAATCAAATGTCCGAGCGACGCTTAAAACCTTTTGATAGTTTCTTAGGACAGTGACCTTGACAATATAATGTCAAGGTCATCGAAATCGGATGTGGCTCCCTATATCTGCATAATTACTTATTTCTAATTGGCACTTTAGTATACTACACGTTAGAAAAGAACGAACTGGTGGTAATTATCTATCTTGTCCCGGTTGTTTTTATTGAAATAAGTATTCCAGTGTAGTGTTTAGAGTTCAGTGATACTTTCCCTAAGATTCATTATTAAGTTAGGTTAGGATTGGGAAATCCGTTTAGGTTGGTTCCCATACAGCACCGTTAGATTGCAAAAACATTACAACAATCTTTCACCGCAATATTGCAATATTGCAAATTCACTGCAAAATGTTGCTACATCATTGCTGTTGAATTGCAGCAATGTTAAAATGTCCGCTTTTTGGAAGATAATAAAATTATTGATTATCGTTACATCTTTTATTGTACAATATTGCAAAAAATTATTTTATTATAGTATTATACCCAGCAAATACCAAGTTACAGTTATATAATTGTTAGTTGTAATTTTCCACTCAACAATATAATTGTTATAATACACGTATTATACTTTTGAGTGGAAAATTACAACTAACAATTATATAGCTGTAACTTGGTTTGCTGGTATATGTATATATATTACAATATATAAATTATAGAATTTGGATTACATGCAATATTTCCGAAATATTAATGTCATGTTGCTACAAGTGTGCTGGAATTTTGTGCACCTATATCTCTGCAATGTCTTTATAATGTTGCATTACAACTTGCAACATTGCAATGTTGCTGCAATATAATTGCAATAATCTGTGCTGTATGGTTATTAGGAATGAGGAAAAAGCTTTTTGTAGCCGGTTTTTTATAGCCGCTATTTGTAAAAAGTATATAGAAGCCAATTAATTATTCCTTTTGTCCTGACTCAGTGGGACTTTACCTGCGACTCTAATCGATGGAAACTCACATTGGTGGGCACAATGCAAAGCACCGGCTTTGTTCGTCGGCTTGATGTTCGCTGGATACATATCTGACAGGTGAGAGAGGCAGATTACTTCCGTATATATGCAAACATTTCTCCTCCGTTAATTAATTAACTCTGAATAAAATATCCTTCCCAACGTTCGGATGCGACGCCATCGTATTTTAATTTCACGTATTTCTACGTTGTATGTAAAAGAGAGAGAATAATAATTCTAATAAATTTCAGTATATACATATGTATTATTGGATAACAATTGATTTAATAATTTGGAGTACCTCTTTTTTATTATATTGGATATTTTTCTGTATATAAATTGATATGGCTTATACATTGAAAAAATTATTCTCGACATAAGAGGACTATATATATAAAATTAGGACTATATATATATATATATATATATATATATATAACATTATGATATATATATATATATATATATATATATACTGAGGCATTTAAAAGACAATTTTAATTTAGTCGGAGAATTTCTATCAAAATCAAATTATCGAAATTTCTTAATTTAAGGGGATGTTCTAGTAGAAACACTGAGGAATATCTATCAAAAAGGATATACAGTACATATATATATATAATTTTCCTAACTTTTAACTAATTCTAATCTTTAGAGGATTCCCCTCTTAAAGTAGGAGGAGCCTTTTGGTGTCTATTTCAGAATAGGGTATTCTAAAGAATAAATCGGAAATTCTAAAATGAGAATTTAATTTCTCTTGGAGTAAGAGAAGACTTCTTACACTTATAATAATTTAAGTTCCGTCAATTCCTATTAACAACAACAATTCTATTCAAAGGTGTCTGAAACCATCTTCTTGCTCGAGTCGTTTGATACGCTTGGATGAACATTCAGCTGTGTTGCGAAACATTTTTTTACATGTTTTTTTTTATCTATCGCAGCGACAAATCGTGCAGTTACGAGATATATGTTTTTACGTAATACGCGACACGAGGAGGAAGAAGGAAGACCGCGATGCGGAATGAACCTTCCATAGAGCTCGTCGTCAATTTCACGCATTTTCGATAAGAAGGTGTATATAGGTATACAGCATATCGAAGGGAGAAATTTCGCGGTACAAATGCGCTTTATATAAGAGAGGACACATAACGCGTAAAGGAAAAAAAAGTGTCTCTCCTCGCGTTTTTATTCTTTTTGTAGGTACGGGAGACGAACCTTTCTGACGGTGTCGACGTTTCTGGCCGGAGTCAGCGGCTTGATACATTCCTTCTCCGTGAATTATTGGATGTTTCTCTCATTCGAATTCCTCGACGCCGTCACAATAGCCGGAATTTACAGCGCGGGATATATTCTAGGTACAGTACGCGCTAATAACTCGGGGACAATAGTTCGCGGGAGAGAGAGAGAGAAGAAGGGTAGGAGGGTGAAAATATATGCGACACACCTGTGTGAAACGTTGCATGTTTGCTCCATGGTCCATTTATACGCGTGTGCGGAGTAAATTCTAAAATGCGCGATGCAAATGCTCTTTACCCGTCTTAAAAGAGAAGTGCGCGTAATACGGATATTTTCGAATTATTTCATGATGGATTTTTCTATCACCGGAGCTTTAGTTATTTATTAAAATTGTAGCTTTATACAGTATGTTTTCAAAAAAGTGCGAAAAATTTTAGGTGATTTCTTGTCGAAAATTAAGAGAGGATTTTCATATACATAAATATATACTCTTCTTTTCCTGAGGAATTACATTTTTCGAAAGGGGATGTAAAAATTAAATTTTTAATTCTTTTTTAAATTTTGGACAAGTTAGAAAAATAAAATTTAGTAGATATTTTCTACTAGTAAAAAAGATATATATTAATATTTTGTTAATCTTCTCGTATCGTTATAAGATGATGAAACAACTTCTATATTTAATTTTTTATAAGAACTTGAACGGACCGGAATGTGATCGTTCAAAAATATGCGTTAGAAAGCTTGATTCCTTTAAAAACTTTCTTATGTCTTTTATTTTGTTCGTAAAATCAAAAATTTTCAGAAAAAAATATAAACCTCATTTTCATCTCTTTGAAAGAACGTAACTTCTTAGGAAGGAATATAGGAGTATATTTATATACGTTTATATAAAAAATTATCTCCTAAAAGCTTTTCGCACTTATTTAGAAACATTTTGTATATACGCGACAGATAAGCATTAAGATACATATAGCAAAAATCGTATTCCATAAAAATATCAAAATTTTTTGGTAAATGTAAAACTCCGACCTGAACTTCGTCAAGATAATAAATTTTCGCTTAAAATTTCGGGATTATATTTGCAAAAATGAATAGGAAAAGATATTACATAATACGCGCAATAATTCCATCATTTAGCGAAATATGGCTTTTTGAATCAGTGGTTGATATTTATCATTGACATGCATTTTTCTTATCTAAATATCGATATTAACTTATTAATTGTAATGGACAATCTCAAGAGATTCAATGTATTTTGTAATATGGAGCAACCTTATCGCGGAAAATTTTCCAAGGTACGAATGCACTTTGCATCAATAGTATAAATATGCATACATATATATTCTTCCACATTTGTCCTTTTATCAATGAAAATTAAGTTTCATTGTTACAGACGTTAAGTTATAGATGTATTCAGACACATTTTTATGTTAAAATCATTTTACAGTTATATTCTTTATGTTTTTTAATAGTCACAATTTGCTTATATAGTTAATAGTGTTATAATTAAATTAATTATATTGTTAAACTTCCTACATAATAGTTTATATAAATTACAATTTTTTTTATAAAAAATTTAAGATTTCTTTATAATTTTCTAAGCTGGATATAAATCGCAAAATCTTTTTTAGTAATGTATGTGTGTATTATAAAATAAAAGCAAGGCACCCTCACCCTAAAAAATTCTAATCTAATTCAAACGTATTTCTGATTAAATTAAGATTTGTTATATTAAAAAATTTCATGAAAAATTTCATGAAAAAAGAATAATCTATCAAAATTTTGAAATTTTAATATATTAAAAAAATTATAAAATTGTGAAACAATTGATATCTCGAAAACTATAGTGCATAGAAGTTTACGATATTCTTTTTCTCGATAAAAAAATCTATGAAACACACACCTAATAAATTGTGAGATCCCGGAAATAACATTCCCTCCTGAAATATTTTTAGTATACGAGAATATTATTGGAATCCTGAAGAAAATAAAACTTGATTTGATTATTAGATTTTGAAGTACGCATTGAATTTGATCCCATCTCCACCTATTACGTTTTGCACGATTACACAATGGCAATAATTTCGTTCGCAGGGGTGGAGACCCTAGGAGTAAAGAATAGAGTCTTTGGAGGCGTTCTTTTATCCTGCATGTTCAGCACGGGCGAGGTCCTGTTAGGATTAGTCGCGAGGTCGGTGAGATCCTGGCGGGTGCATCTAAGGGTGGTGTACGCGCCGGGACTGTTGGCCGTTTTCTTGCCTCTGCTCATTCCAGAATCGGTCAGGTGACTCTTCTTAATCATGACAAACACACGAGAACATATCTTCTTTGATCGCGAGATTTAATCGGCGAGCGATTTATTTTTATTTCGCTTTATTGCATACTAGATGGTTTTTTTGCTTATGGAAAATATAATTGAAATTATTACCAATCCCGAAGTAAAGAATTAATTATAATTATTATGTTTACAACTTAGTAGAATTTTTTATTGAAACCGATTCGAATAAATTTATACTTGCATTTATATATAAAATGTAGATAAAATATTTATACTCTTTTCAATCAAATGAAATTTTATTAAACAATTGGGATGTTCAAGGTGGCTAATGTCAAAGGGTAAACACGACGAAGTGGAGAAAATATATCGAAAAATGGCGCGGATGAACAACCTGCAAGTAACGAATGAGGCTATCGATATATTTAAGGAATTAAATGCTAAAACCGAAACGGTATATTTATTTCTTACTTTCTCTGGTAAACATATGTTTATAGGATCAATATAAGTTTATAGGATAAATTTGTACTATTATATGTGTATAATAAATATGATAATATAATATGCAGGCTGTTTTTCAAGTTAGTACAATTCAAAAAATATTCCTTGGCTTAACTTTCTATAAATATATATTCTAAACTGCTTCAACTGTTTTCAAAATACAGGGTGTCAAAGTTGTGAAAAAAAAATATAAAAAATATGAGAGTAGAGTAAGCATTTCGAATTTTCGAAATATCAAACAGAATAAATAGATGATTCATTGATGTATATGTATAATTATCAGTTTTTAATTTTCAATTTTTACAGTTTTAATTTTAACAATTTTTTATCTTAACTTGAAGCGGTTTATTGCTCCAAAAAAATATAAGAGGCAATTTTTGTAGAATTTTGGGGATTTTTATCTTAAAAATTGTTAAACTTTTAACAAAAACAGTGGCATATTACTTTCTTATTAAAAAGATTCAATATGATTATTCATATGCACGATTCTTGTGGACCTAAAAATGTTTTATCAATAAATAGTTCTTAATAATATTAATATGTTTGCATAACATTGACTATATTTTAAAAACAAAAGCAGTTTATAGGATTTTTTCTAATAATGTAGAACTTTTCTAAAATAAGTCAATTTTTTGTACTTACTTAGGAAACAAATGTATATAATATATAATAAATATATAACAAAAAAAAATAAAATAAATAACACACTCACCAGTTCTCTCTGGTTTATAAATGCTAACATAACATAATAATGTGACGACAAAATCTTTTTCAGAAAATCGAGCTAACGAAGGCGGACGAGAGGAAGCCGATCGTGCAAGTCCTACGTAGTTCAGTGATACTTATTCGTTTGTCGACCTGTTCATTCTGCTGGATCACGAACACATTCGTTTATTACGGATTGGCGTTGAATTCCGTGGCGTTCGCCGGGGATAAGTACATCAATTTCATACTCGTCAGCATAGTCGAGATGCCAGGCTACCTTCTCACCTGGCTGCTGACAGATCGCATAGGACGTAAACCGATGCTCTCCGGCGCGTTTCTGCTAAGCGGAATGTTCTGCCTCGCGATTCAGTTCGTACCATCAGGTAAAAAAATATCATTTCTCATGGAAAGATTGTCTTAGGGGTTCAAATTCAATGATCAAGTTTGTTTTCTAGGATTCGAATGATTCGTAAGAAATAATATTTATTTTATCAGGGTTGGGTAATAACTAGTTAATGATTTAAAAATTAAAAAAAAGTTAAAAAAGTTAATAACTTTATATATAAAATAAATATATTTTTCTGCTATAATTAAAATTTTCATATTTATCTTTTTTTATTAATTTATTTTATAAATAATATATTAATTAAAATCTGATTAAATTTAATAAAACTTTAATTAATATATTATTTATAAATATATTATTTATAAATATATTATTTATTTATAATTTACCCACCCTGATTTTTATTATAAAGCCAAAAGATCTAGAATATTATTATTAATACTTTGCAATGTTTAAAACGTTACTATAAGTACTTTCTACTTTTTCGTAAAAGAAAGAAATCTTTTACAAGTATTACTTGAACTCTAAAAAAACATCAAAAATTAAATAAATCTCAATTTGAGATTTTTATATTTAATACTTACTCTCTTCTGTCCCCTCCAAAAAAGCTTAGATAAGAAAAGAGGACAGATAGGTTTATTAAATATATAAATCTCGAATTGATATTTGTTTATTTCTTGGTATCATACTAAGAAAAATTTTGTTTCTCATATTCATAAACACTCAGGTTCAAGGAAAATTAATTCTTCCGCATTTGATTCTATTACTATTGATTTTACGAAAGAAATCAAATAAATAAAAAGTTTCTAAAAGAATTAAGCTTTCTAACGCATATTTTTAGATGATCACATTTCGGTCGGTTAAAAAATTCTAATAATAAATGAAGTAGGGGTTGTTAGTTTATTATGATGCGAGAAGATTAAAATAATATTAATAAATATTTTTTTGGACTAATGGAAAATATCCACTAAATTTCATTTCTTTAACTTGTCCAAAATTGAGAAAAAAGTTAAACATCTCATTTTTATCTTCTGTTTTGGAGGTATTCTTTAAGAATAAAAACTCTCCTTAATTTTTGACAAAGAAATAATAATTTTCTAAAATTTTTGCACTCAAAAATATCTTGTATACAACTTAAATTTTCTCATAAGTCGGTACTTCTAAAAGATTTGATCATATTTGATTCAAGTTTTAAAAATGCTTAAAGAAGTACTGCTCTTGTTTTTTGAGATATTTAATAAAAAATTTCGAATATTTCTTCCAGGTTTCGAATCTTGAAAGCACTGTTTTTTTTTCAAAGTAATCATTGAGTGTTCAAAACCATGCAAACAAATTCGAATCTGCTTGTAAGATACTTAATTCCATCGTTAATTTTCTTTTATTCACACGAGTTTCCTTATCATCACGAGTCGCTTATGAAAAGTAGCTGAATTTACGATTAAGAAACTAGTTATCTCGGAGAAATCTTGCAAAGGAGAAAAAATTGAGTAAAAAATTTTGAATTATTATTCTCTCCTTTTCTATAGTCTTATAATTTATTATTCACTTGATTATTCTGTTAACTTTTTTATAGTATCTATCGTTTCTCAGAAACTGCACATACTTATAAAAAGAAACATTAAAAAAAATTTCTATTGAAAAAGATGTCATAAATACTTGACATTTATGTTTCTTTTGAGATAAAAACCACTTTAAGCAAACAATGGTTGTTTTTATGTAAATGAATGGGCAACTTCAAATGTTAAAAATGTGTAGTAATTTTCTCTGTCCGACAGACAAAATATAAAGGGCCTTTGTATTCGAAAACCTTTTAAAACGAGATCTCTTATAACAGAAAAGAGTATTCGAATGCTCAATAGCTGCAAAAAAGAAAAAAAAAAGAATCACAAAACAGGTGTTGAAAATTGCATAATATCCCCTCATACATTGAAAAGATACAAAATTATGCGTTGACAGAATTTTTTCTGTTTTTTTTTTATTTCAATTTTTCTTTGGTTCACAATCTGCGTACGATCGCACGTACTTTTATTCGAGGATCGCGAAATTTAATCGAGTAAGTAAACGAGCTATAATCGCGCGGAGAGATACGATAAGCCGCAGAACAAGTAATATTGTACAATATATTACCGCATAATCCGAGTCCGAATGCAAAGAAAAACGTGTTGAAATAAACGCGCCGGCGTCTCTCCTCCGGGAGATTAGCGTTCGCAACGCGCTCGCGCGCGCAATTATGTCCTGGCGCAGCGGTGGATTTTGTATAGGGGGTTCGCAAATCATCCCGGATGATTTATCGCTCACGCCGCGTTTCCGCAGGTACCTCGAGTTACGGGCCCTTACTTTTGTACATGGCCGGGAAAATGTGCATCACCGCGGCGTTCTCCACCACCTACGTCTACACCGCGGAGATGTTCCCGACGACGTTGAGGCATTCCCTGCTCGGCTTCTGCAGCATGGCCGGTCGCATCGGGTCTATCTTATCCCCGCAAACGCCTCTATTGGTGAGTTATTGCGTTGAACAAATGTTTTTCACTTAGAACATATATACTTGGAAGGGGAATTGCTATTGTTCTCCATGGTAAAAATCTGTGTCCAAGTTGGGTGCGAGAGAGAAAGATAGCTTTTAACCTGTGCTCGCAATGCGCAAACGTAGATGACGTCACGGTGACGTCACGCTCACCGCGCCGTTTGAAACTAGAAATGTAATTGGTGCTTTCGCTAATTCGCGTTTGCGCATTGCGAACGGAGGTAACAATCTACCCTTCTCTTTCCTTAAAAACGTGGTTCTCTCTCGCACCCAACTTGGACACAGTTTTGCGCTCCTATTCCCCTTCCATATCTATATGTTCTAAGGTTTTCATGTGTGAGAGGAGAGACGTCCTTCATATTTTTATATTGATATATCAGATTGAGGAAAAGAGATATTCGGGGCTTAAAAATTCAATGCGACACTAGTGGTGGTCGCATGAACTATTTTTTCTTTTAAACTAGGCGCGAGACACTACCGTGTCTCTTGATAAATGACCGCCACGAATATACATCTAACATGATATTATTATTTGAACAATTAATTAATAATGTTCTAGGGATTACATGAGATTCTGATGTCAAAGGCACTTATTTGTAGACATAAGGAATATAAATCTATTCTTTCTTGACTTTTTATAGTTACACCGCACATAATAATCACCGGAATTTATAACATTCTGGCCTTCGATCATATTCCATGATGAAGGCGTAGCTTTTGTATAATCACAGAATGTGTCTAGTCGCAATGACGTCTTTTTTATTAAAGAAATTTATTTTTACACTTAAACCTGTGTTGTATAATCGCGGCGGCCATATTTGTTTTGCTTTAGTAGAGCCTCTCTTACCGCGATGGACGTTTTTTGCCAATAGAACAGATAATATGAAATATTTATAATATAAAATAATATATACATATAATATTATTTCTGATAATATAAAAATTTTTTATAATATAAAAAACTTGTAGAATTAATAATAAATAAAATAGTTTTAATAAGCATTTATTAAGGGAAATGTGCCCAATATCGGATTTTCATTGTTAAAGCCTTGTATTTGAAAAACTTTTTAAAATAAAAATTAATAGAATTACGTGGTTTACACGGATTTATAACTGTAATAAATAAACAAAACCTTGTTCATAATACATTTTTTAAAATAATAGAAGCATAAAAAGATGGCAATTTCTGATATTAGATGTATTATGTTTTTAATATATCGTATATGTTATTTTTAACTTTTTAAACTAAATTTTTGAAGAAAAAATATTCAGTCTCTTTGAGCAAGATTTTAAAAAATAAAAATTAAATAAATCTCGTAGTTTATATAGATTTTAATTGTAATAAACAAACATTTTCCGATAATATAGTCCATGTTTTTAAGTAGAAATATACAAAATTTCTGATATTGAGTACACTATATTTGTAATAGTGTACTCATTATTCTGCAATTTTTTAAAGATTAAAATTATTGAAAAAAGATTTTTAATTTATCAAAATTATTTAATTATCAATATAGAAGAAAACTAATTAACAATATATATAGAAAAAAATTGGAATATAAAATCTTTTAGCAAAACTTTTATGAAAGCTCATAAAAATAGCATATAAATTTGGATAATTACAGTTTGAACACAAAATACAAATAAATTACAAAATAATACTTTAAAATTATAATGACAGACTATAGTTTATATCAGGATGTATAATATTAGATAAATATTTATGAAAAAAATATGACTGTTCGAACGAGAATACAAAGGTCTACAATTTATTTTTTAAATGAAATTAAAAAAATATCTTTACGTATTTTTTTATTCAAAACATCTGTCTAAATTAACGTACGTACGTAAAAATTTGTTATAACTAAAACTGAAATAATTTACAAACTGATTACTTTGTTTACTTTTAAAACTAGACGTTATATTGCACAGACAAGAACTATTATTAAGACACTTTCCAAGAGAATACAGTATTTATCAATAGTTAAAGAGAAATAATTAAGACAATTTCTAAGAGAATGCAGTATTTATACCAGAGCCAAGTCAGAAATATAAATGTACAATATTAAGGTGTACGATACTGGGCTCGGTTTCCTTACTTTCCAAGGATTATAAGAAAATCTAGTTAATATAAAGAACAGAATAATTTGTAAAATGGTTTAAAATGTGTTTTTAACGAATATTTTATGAGAATATTAAATATAGCCTTTCTAATTAAATTTGTCTCGTTTACGTTTAGGCGCAAATAATGCCGTCGCTGCCGCTCATCCTCTTCGGGTCTATGAGCATAATCGCGGGCATCCTGTCTCTGATCTTTCCGGAAACTTTGGGGACGAAACTTCCGGACACCGTATGGGAGGCGGAAAACATCGGTAGAGTTAAGCCAAACCCGTGAAATTCGGTTAAAATAGAAAATAAATTACAAAATATTAATGTTAAGTGTGAAATATTATTATGAGAGGCACCACCATGCACAATCATCTTTGTCTACTTTCTTTATACATACAGGATGTATGTTCCGTTTTAACTTCGCCATTGAAATATCTCATAAGTCTAAAAGATAACAAAAAATGTTTCAAACAAAAGTTGTAGGGTTTCGAGAGGGACATAAAATGGTGCTATTGATTTGATCTTGAAAAGTCTTTTGAAGGTCACCTGAAGGTCAACTTCAATTTCTTCAATGGAACCATCTATTTTTCATTGCATATTCTTGTAGCTTATGTCGAGTGCTTTTCAAAACTCTATAACAAAGTTATTTTTCATTAAGTACTTTTTGAGTTATAAAGATTTGAAAAGTTAACAATTTTTTGACATGAAAGTTCTTTTATTCCGATTAATAAAGAGGCTGTTTTGTTTGCCTAATAGTGCTTTTATTATTTAACTGCGGATCTGAATACGTAGTTCAAATATACATATTAGAAAGACGAGATGTGTTTCAATCAGAAAGTAACTCTAATAAATTTCGGGTGTTTAGACCGACACAAAGACCCCCTAAGTCTACCGAGAAAAGGAGAAAAAGAGAAAGAGAAATGGCAATAACTTTTAAAACTTTACCAAGTGTTCCTTTCAGATGCGCTGGATAGCGATATGGGATGATCTTTATAAGGCTACGTTATGTCCAAAAAAATGTAAAATATATAATTGATTACAAGCATCGAGATTCAGCCTTATCGAAAATTATCTCGTCTTACTACTTATTTATATTTGCGTGCGAAAAAAAAATTATATAATATAGAATTATATAATATAATATAGGATTATAATATCTTCCCTAAAATCTCCCATAAATATGGTAAAAAATGAGTAGAGAGAAAAAGAAAAAAAGAAAGATATGTTGCACATTTGTGTATATTTTCTCTTCAGATTTGTCTACGCAACGACAATTTGCTCGCATGTAAATCGCCAATTATGCACCTGTCAACGCAAAAAAAAAAAGAAAAAGAAAATAGTTGCGTTGTACCGATGTGTAGTATCCGTATATAGTACAATTTTTGCGTGATTATATTTAGTGTATGACACGCGGGGCGATTTATTTATTACTTTCAGTTCTCAACTTTATCTTGTAAAATAGTGTGATGTAATTCATTATATGTAGTTTAATTTTAATTATTATGAAACGAACTATGTTTGTATAACGTATATATAAGATATAACTGAAAAAAAGAAACATATCTGAAACACCATTAGATTTTCCGGTCAATTTGGAGATTGATTTTGTTGCTTTTTTAATAACACTTTATTTAAAAGATTAAACTTTGATATTTATTTATATAACTTAAACTCTTGTTAAATATATAGGCTTTTCTTGTGGGCCGTGTGATCCACACAGGGAGTGTAATAGAACAAAAAATCTAGATTGGAATATGAGCATATGAATATTAGCAATCTAAAAACAAAAAAGAATTAAACAAGCTAACAAACTATTAAATAACAATGATGTGTAACAAAAATAAATTCTTTTAACATCAACAGATTTTTCCTCAGTGAAAATGTCGAGACACCAATAATATAATTTTCAATTTTATAAATAATTGAAAAAGAAAAGTTTCTTGAAAACTATTATTTTGCGAGAATTTTTTGAGATTATGCTGTTGTATCGTAATATTTAATAATTAAATTAAAATGATTATAACGTTGTGATTTAATAAATAATATTTGCCAGTACGGTCGAGAGAAGAGTGTTACTTTTTTAAATTCTGTCTGGAGATTCTCAAATAAAATGATTATAATTAATTAATGAAAGGCTCGTATAAATTAAACAAAATTAAACAATCATATATAGTAGGCCAACTAAACGAGCAAATAAATAAGATGTAAAAATTTTTTTATTAATAGTTAAATCATTAAATTAACATTCCGTTACAGAATCGATATAAATTGTAAACGTTTCGACTGCACTACAGTCTTTATCAATACATAAAAATTAAATATTAAAATATAAAGTTAGATGTTAAAAATACAAAGTTAGTTAAATATTAAAATATAAAATTGAAACGATTCTTCGCTGTTGACCAATAGATATGCAAGGCGATTGGTCTGAGATGCCAAGTTATGCGACATTTGAGCATGCTACGGATATAATACGCGAATTAAATCAATGTCAGAAAATATTAAAAATCTTTCAACTTACATTATCGTTTTAACAAGTCCTTTTCCCCGATATTTCAAGTGTGTGTTGCGAAGTCTGAATACCAAATGTCAAAATAGAGAGCGTGATGTATTTATTTATTACCAATGTTTTTTCTAAATTATGATTCAGCAAATTTTTTAAGTATGTCAAAATAACTACTGTCTAACAATTCGGTGTCTGTATTTAAATTAATTCCATTTTCTGTTCTTTAATGTGGATCATTTCAGATATTAGTCTTTTATGGTAATTCTTTTCATGATCCATAATTTTAATATTGTCCCAGTCAAATGTATGTTGTTCGTTTAGAATGTGTTCCGTGATAACCGAATGTCTAGCAGAGTCTAATTTAATATTATTTTTATGTTCTTTAAGTCTCGTTCCTAACTGTCTTTTTGTCTGTCCGACATATGTGGCGTCACAATCGTTGCAATTCAATTTGTAAATAACGTTAGAATTCGTGGGGCAATTATTTTTGTCCTTTTGAACTCTTATGAAGTCACTTAATTTTTTAATGCAACGATATCCTACCACTACGTCAGGTCTTCTTATTGCTGAAGCAACTTTCTCAGATATTGATTCTATATATGGTATGACAAAATATTTAATGTTAGTATTAGTATTATTAGTATCTGTTATATTGTTATTATTAGGCTTGTTAAATTTCTTAGTTGAGAGATTTTTAATCTGCGTTTTATTTCTGTGAAAATTAGATCAAGAGGATAACCGTTGGATAGCAAAATGTTAATAGCTTTCTCTATATTTTTTTTGTGAAATTGCGGATGTGATAGTAATAAAGCTCTATCTACCAAGTTATAAATTGTTCCTATTTTATGACAAGTCGGATGATTTGAAAAAAATGAAAGTAATCTACCTGAGAATGTCTTTTTGTGATACCAATCTAAATAAATTTTGTTATCTATTACTTTGATCATTATGTCTAAAAAGCTTATACAACGATTATCCTCCTTTTCCAATGTAAATTGTAGTCTATCGTTATAATTGTTGAATTCGTTCAAAACATATGTAATGTTGTCAGCGGAAGTGCATAAAATAATGTCGTCTACATAACGGAAATAGAAAGTCATTTCGCAATTTAAATTACTAATTACTAATGTTTCCAAGTCCTGCATGACTATATCGGCAATGATCGGAGAAAGTGGGGAACCCATAGGAGTCCCATAAATTTGTTTGTAAGTTATGTTATTAAAAGTGAAAAATGTAGAAGTTAATATAAATTTTATCATACCTATGAATTCATTTTTGGGAATCTTGTGTGTGACTCTATAATGTCCTCTATATTGATACCGTTTTGCAAGATCTACGGAAACATTAATAAATAATGAAACATCGTACAATAGCTGTTAGTCGGTATTTCAACATTTTCGCTGTCATTATTGCATCTTCAAAATGTATTTCACTGTCATTGTATTATTATAATTTTGTTATAATCCAAATTTTCATTTTCAAGTTGAGAAAGATTAATCAGATTCTTGTTGATACTTCAGAATTTGCTTTAATAAAGAAATATCTTCAATCCCTGGAAGGGGCGCATTTCATTATTCTCTTCATCGGATGAAACCTTTTCAGATGAAACCTCTTCAATAATTGAACCTCTTCATAATGAAGCCTCTTCTTGTAACAGTTGTAATTAATTTCTTAAATCGTCCAATTTCTTTGATACCAACATTGAATACTAATTCATTAATTATTCTTATTCGTATTTCTACGACGATTCCTACTTTCCTAAGATAGATTAAAAATAATTACAAGACCTCATCTACTAAATATATTGCTTATACTGCATTCACAATAATGATATTAATTTTTGATAATAAACTTTAAATAAATAATAGCAAAAAACAAGAAGCAATAGTGACAATATTATTATTAATAATTCCGTATATGTTGAGGTTAGTTAAGAGTTGAGTTAAAGAAAATTGTATATATAAGAGATACAATATTTTAATTAAATAAATCAAAATAATTTATTAACTATATAAAATTATGAACTATTTATATGAAAATTGTAATTTTATTAATGAAAACAATTATAACCTACAGACGACTTGAGGCACAAAAGTGAAAAATAGATTATAAAGATAATTACAAATTATTATGAAGCATTACCGGTAACTTTCACTCATTTTTGTTAGGTTGACTTCTTTATTAGAATAGCAATCTTCCAGCAGACTTATTCTGTAACTTTTAACGCATGCGTTATAACTATAATTCATTTGTTAACCATGAATTCGTCGACGATACGACGACTAACGCATGCGTTACAGTTTTAACGCATTTTAAAAGTTACAGAAATAGCCTCCAGAAGAACAAATATTATCACAATATAGTTCAACATTAACGAACTTCAAGAATGACATCGATCACGGAACAATAACAGAATGAGTTCGTTAACATCGTTGCATTAAGTTGGTACCATATTTAGTCAAAAGGCGGTGTCGCAAACGCAACTTATCTTTTATACGACAGTTAAATCAAAATAGCGTTATCGAACCAATCATTTAAATAATTAAAGTTACATTTTCATATAAAGTTTCCTCATACATAATTAGAAATATATATATATAATATATATAATAATAATTAATTTACATTTATTTTTATAATTAATTAATATATTACACACACAAAGAGAAATTATACAACACAAATAAAAAAAATATATATATATATATATATGCTTCACATATATACTTTTATATATAAATTTTAATATATGTTTTTTTACATGAAAAGTATTTATTATGGATTCAAATGAAATGATTGATATCTGGCCTGATTGTTTTTAGCAAAATTATGACGTCTAGTCGACGTTTAATTTGAACTGAAAAAGTTATAGTCGAAATTTACAATTTAATCGAGTAACGATCGATTTAATGTTTAACTTTTACATTTAAATTCTGTCTGGAGATTCTCAAATAAAATGATTATATTAAATAATTAAATTAAAGTATTAAAAATCGGTAAATATTATGGATTTTATGTATATTTACATATTTTAATTTAAATATTAATGGATGTAAAACATAATATAATATATGGTATTTAAGGGGATGCCAGAGTGAGTTTTTCCTTGTTTTATCGACAAAATGTAAGGTTAGATAAAGTATAAATAGGTTATTCTTTTTATTGGCAACTTGTACATACAAAGTAAGACCAGGCCAGATTTGGCATTAGATAAAGGAATATAAGTGAATGTTTAGATATCAATTTGGAAGCCTAGTAAACGAGAATAACTCATCCTACATTTTCATGTGTGCACTTTATCTAACCTCACATTTTGTCGATAAAACAGGAAAAAAAATTTACTCCGGCATCCCCTTAATACAAATTGTGCAAGATTATCGTACAATAAAATTGATTAGTATTTACATAGAAAAATAAACATTAAACGAATTACTTGAACAATTTATGTATTCAAATATATTATACACACAAAGATGCAAAATATATTATTTTATTTATAAATACAATGTATTTTTTTTTTTCAATTTCCACACTTAATTGTCAAATAAAAAAATATACAATATGAAGAGTGCATCTCGAAATTATTACGCTTTAAAGAATACGTGCAGTTTTGGATTATCATGTCCAGACAGAAGTCTCTCCCTTGTGCGAAGCAAGTAAATGAAAATACAATTTGTATGTGTTTTCGTTTCCACCTGTGTGTGTGTATGTATGTGTGTTTACAGCTGCAAAAACGGAGAGAGACTTTTGTAACTCGCAAAGAGCCCCACGTAAATGGCGCATATAACTTTCTTCCGGAGAAAGAGAGAGAAAGATATTATCGCTGCGCGAAGACTGCCTCTGCGTACTTTCCTCTTCAATTTTTAACGAAACGACAAAGAGGAGGGGGTGGAATATATTTCGGGGACGGAACGAATTTTCGTCGCATACACACAGTCGGACCCGAAAGGACTGGAATTGAGACTACGCGATGCAACAGGAGGGCACACGCGATGTATAAGCGCTCTGTTATTTTATGTATACGGATAACATGCCGGGCGAGCCGTAATAAATTTCGTCCTGAGAGCCACAAATCTTGAGAGGAATACGCTCCTCCTGTTCTTATTCACCTCCTAGAGAGCAGAATGTTCCCGTTATGTTCGCGTTGATTTTTTATCATATCAACGGAAGCGCGATCAAGGTCTCCAGGGAATATCTATAGCATTCTCTCTCCGTTAAGTATTGGCGAAAAAAAAAAACGTCTACCGCGGTAAGAGAGGCGCCACTAAAGCAAAACAAATATGGCCGTCGAGAATATACAGCAACAGTTTTAAGTGTAAAAATTAATTTTTTTAATGAAAAAGATGTCATTGCG